CAGTCCTACATTGCAGTAATAACTAATTAAAAGAACCGAACACAGTCCTACATTGCAGTAATAACTAATTAAAAGAACCGAACACAGTCCTGCATTGCAGTAATAACTAACTAAAAGAACCGAACACAGTCCTGCATTGCAGTAATAACTAATTGTCAAAGAACCGAACACAGTCCTGCACTGCATCAATAACTAATTCAAAGAACCGAACACAGACCTGCATTGCAGTAATAACTAATTAAAAGAACCGGTTATTACTGCAATGTAGGACTGTGTTCGGTTCTTTTAATTAGTTATTACTGCAATGTAGGACTGTGTTAGTAATCACTAATTAAAAGAAAAATAGAAATTTATGTTCAGGGCTTTTATGGTTACAAGGCTTGTTTAAACTGATACGAAAGCTATTAATTAAAAAAGGTACTGTGACCAATAATAGATATATAATGGCTGGAGACTGCTTGAATATGTAATGAAGAAAAACTTTAATATAAGTTTAACATAACAGCAAATGTACAACGTTTTTGTCATCATTAGGTACCTGATGTGGGTGGGTTTATGTAATCAGCCCTAAGATCTTTTATCAGAATAACAACCAGAAAGGGGTGTACGTCATTAATACTGAGAACCTTCAGTAACACCTGAAAATATGTGGGGTAGCGCAAGAAGTCGGAGTGAAATGTATGTATTCAATATGGAGAACCTTAGTAATGACGATGTCACCACTGGAAGCCATGATTAAGAATGATGAGGCAGGATGGAGTTTACACAGCCACTACTAGAAGTGACCCCCAACAGTTGAGAAGAAATTATATGCAGCTTAAACCGGAAGTCATCAAAAATACACCACACGGATTGGAGTCAAAGTTAAGTAGACAGTATTAATTAGGACTCAAGATGGAAATCTCGAGTGTATTCATTCAATACTTCGAAACTTCAGTAGGACCTAGCAGGTATGATAGAGTGCATGCAGTAAATACAGAAAGCTTTCAATGTGAACAAGCGGGTATAGTAGAGACCATGATATTACTTTGACTAAGGTCCTAGAGACCAACTGACAATATTAATAAGTATGGTTGATGATATCACTTTGACTGAGGTCCTAGAGACCAACTGATAACGCTACTAAGTATGGTTGATGATATTACTTTGACCGAAGGTTCTAGAGAGCAACTGACAACGCTAATAAGTATGGTTGATAATATTACTTTGACCGAAGGTTCTAGAGACCAAATGACAACGCTAGTAAGTATGGTTGATGATATTACTTTGACCGAAGGTTATAGAGAGCAACTGACAACGCTAGTAAGTATGGTTGATGATATTACTTTGACCGAAGGTTATAGAGAGCAACTGACAACGCTAGTAAGTATGGTTGATGATATTACTTTGACCGAAGGTTCTAGAGACCAAATGAC